CCGTCAATTCGTTGGAGTGAAGGGATATTGCGATCAAATACTTGTCGTCGTCTTTAATGGCAATTAATTGAGTATAACATCGATTGGCAGTCGTGTCCGGGGAGGTGTTGCCCGACACTGACCTCGAGTCTGGTCGAGAGTAAGACTCTGAAATGGTTGGACTCGTGTTGGGAGGCGGGGGTGAGAGGACAACGGGTGGGACGGGTGAGGGGTTCGGGTAATGGTCTTCCGTGGGAACGTCCACTTTTATGGTGGGCTGTCGTGAGCTTTCTTGTCCTCCTCTCTCATCACTGGGTTGTGGAGCGGATTCGTGTCCACCCGAGTGTGGATCCGATGCACCTGTCGATGCCTTACCATAAGGCAGACTATCTGTTGAACTCTTGCGGATCTTATTTAACTGACTGTTGGGACAAAACAAATGGTCATTACATGCAATCCGTTCACTACTATTGACCACAACTTCGTGTAATCAACATAAATGACAAACTCGTGTCTAAATCATGTCAAACAAGTCATACAAACATATCTGACCCGTCATTGTCATTGTCTTCCTCGTCGGCTTTGGTCTTCTTGTCTTTCTTACCATTTCTTCGCAAAGACGAACAGTTGGATCCCATATTACGTGCACTTCCCAGCACTTTATGACCACCGATTCAATGCATTTATAACACCATCACAATCACAATCACTATATCAATACAATTCAGTAATATTCATAAAATTGTTGTTTTGTATACAATTCACTGTCAATACAATATGTATGTTAACTGTACGCCAGTTATACAAACCTATAGCTCACAGTCGGTCATACAGTCATTCACACAAACCTATAGAAAGGTTACAATTACCACATTTCCACGAATATTCTGTACACTTTAACAGATACTACTGTATCAATGTAAATGTAGGGTTGCAACTTGCACATTTCTTTGCATTTTTGCTCTTAAAAACTTCAGTTATTTAGAACTTTTAATTAAGTTCTTGTCTCATAATTCAAACATTAGTTAAAACGACAATCATTTCTATGATCTCTCTTTACATCTTAAGTCCTAATTATGGTCTCAGTGTAGACCCAAAACTTTCGGCTATTTCTTAAATTTGTTTTTAAACTCTTTTTCACTGATAATTAAATAAACTATTCAAACACATACTGTAAGTCTTAAAGTTGTTGTATTTTTAGAATTATTTCTAATAATTAATTAATTATAAATTACAATTAATTATCAGCAATCACTTCTAATTCATAATTTGATACATATTACAGTATGATAGCTCTTATATTCTTACTGTATAAGTCACAATTATAGATACATTATTAATTTTATGATTTTATATTTTACATGATTTACTTGATCTCGGTAAATTGTTGGAAAATAATTACTGTGTTACTGTATTAAAATACGGTATACATGTGAGGGTTTTAAATTTGAAATTGCTCGCATCCCTAGTTTTAGTATGACAAACACATAAGGGTTGAACACATGGGAATATTGCCCACTCTTTTAAGGAATATGGGGAATATCCACAATCATGTTAGGGTTGTGCCTATTAATAGTATGCACTCATTGGCGTGATGTGTGAAAAGGAACCGAAATGTTGGTGAAGCATATGAATGATCACGTGATATAGGATGTGATGATTTGTTGTGTTGTGAATGACAGTCAGACTAATTGATAGTGAATTGCATGCAAACCACTGATTACTGTATTGTCTGCCAATTACCACTGATTTACTCCAAGAGACCACTCGTTCGCACAAATGGTTTACGAATCGCTGAATCTGTGAGTTATGGATGAGTTTGCAGTGAATTGTTTGCATTTAACGGCCATTTGTTTGATAGGTTTGTATCGCCGGAAAAGTTTTACATCAGACCCGTTGGCAACGATAATGAGTTACTTGTGATCGACAGACAGACCACTTATATCTCATTAGAGGGTTTGTATGAAGTAATGCCTGTCAGTCACCACTAATTCTCTGTCAACCACCAGCCCCTCGCACTCAGATCACAGGCATTGCCACTTCTAAGCTAATCCATGGCATATTTGGTATCATTAGACTATTGGCCGGTAATCAAGTGACATATTATTTGTGTTGAGACACGGATTGCACTGATTTGTGGCCACTGTTTAGGTCCGTATCTGATTGTCATCACTCGGGTGTCAATAGTGGGCAAAATCTATGGCCACGAGGTGTTTAAGATCGATGAGACCGAGATAATCCCATTCAGTCGCACCACTCTTCACTTGACTGAAGACCAGATCCAGTATAACAAGAGTTATCTATCAATGGTTAAGACAGTGTTGGATTCGCCATACTTTTACCTCTGCTATACCTATGACTTGACTCATACCCTCCAAAGTCTCTATAATTGTGGACCAGATTTCACGTCTAAATCTTACTTCGAAAGGGTCTGTATTCACGAGTTTTCAAATCATGTCAATTGAATTGAATTATCACTGAAAGGCTGACAAACGGTTTGTTTGGAATCACTGGCTATTATCGGAATTAGCGGTTCGACAAGAACTCCAGTCTTATTGCATTCCTATACTACACGGATGTATGCATTCATTGTCTTACATGTGATTGAATATGATTAGCATTGAATTGATTTGATTGACTGATTGGCACATTAGTTGTTCACATAAACGGCGTGACAATCAACAGAAAGCAGTTCGTGTGGACAATAATCTCGAGGCGTTGTGTGTCTCGCGCGGGAACTCGCCTTTTCATGCGCGGCATCGACAGCGACGGACACCCGGCTAACTATGTGGAGACGGAACAGATCGTTGAATACGAGTCGTCGCAGAGTTCGTTCGTTCAGATCAGAGGCTCGATACCTCTTCATTGGACACAATTACCTGATCTCCGATACAAACCTCCGCCACAACTCACTCAATACGCGAACCAATTGCAGAGTTACCACAAACACATCGAACATCTGATCAATAATTACGGGAAAATATGTTTAATTAATTTAATCAATCATTCGGGACAAGAGTTGCCACTCGAGAGGGCTTTCAGAGATATAG